TTAGTTAGATATCGACTAAGTAGGCAAGCTAGCATTAAACTTTCCTGAAATAATGAAAGAGATGTTGTTTCTTTCATAATATATATTATATTATATACAATATCAAATAAAGAAATGATGTTTACCTACAGGAGAAACCCCCCTAAAAAAAACAAGTTTTAATTAATTTTTTTTTTAAATTCACAATTAGATTGAAATTATTTGTTTATTTATAAAACTATTTCAAATATAAAAATATATACAAAATAAAAATTTTTTTAATTCGATTTATTTATTAATAGTCAAAACTTTCAAATATAACTTATAAAGATAACATATTGTTTTTTTAATAAACAAAATTTAAACCTTTTATAATTATTAATATAATTACTTTTCATTATTTATAATTAATCAAATTATTTAATTTCTATTAAAATAATAATATTCAAAAATATTTAAAAATGAAAAAAAAAAAAAGAAACAATTTTATTTATTTTCAAGATTATATTTAAAAATTAAATTAATAATAAATATTCAAACATTCAAATAGTTTATATATAAAAATCATATATTATTATGTTTTTAATTATAAAATATTAAATAAATATAATAAATACTTATTTGTTTATAAAAAAATTTTATTTTATTTTATTTTAAAATCATCATATCCCTTTTTTTTTATAGTTAAATTAAATTGAAAGAGAATAAAAGTTAGTTAAACATATATTTGTATAAAATAAGTATTTTCTTAATAAAATAGAAAATCAAAATCTTATAACTATTGAAACCTATTATTTTATTTAAATTTTATATAATATTTATAAGCAAAATAATAATAATAATAATAATAATAATAATAATAATAATGGAATATATGTTATTAAAAAAAAATTCAATTAGTTTTAAATAAATAAACCTCAAAATATTTATATTTTTCAAAAAATCAATAAAAAGAAAATAATTTATTAAATAAATTTAAGGATAAATTTAAAAATAATAATATTGTATACTGATTTTTAAATAATTTTTAATATTCATATATTTTAAAAAATCATCAATTATTATTATTATTGTAAATGAAAATTATTTTGAAATATTTATATAACCAATACACTTGTATATTTCTTACGATACAAGACAGCAGTATTGACTATAGCAATTGAATCGTCAATTCATCCATAACAATAAATAACAATTTTGTTGATAACAATAAAAAAACTCAATATAAAATTGAATAATGTTTATTTTATTTTATGGATGAAACGAATGCATTACTATAACTAAAGATTACCTTACATAGGTTTATTTATTCCTTATTATTCTGAATTAGTAACAATGACTAATGACATGATAGATAATTTTTAATTGCCTTATTTAATCGGTGTGACAAATATTTTTTTAAATAGTAATGCCTTGATTCATCAAAGAACATGAATATTATCTTTAAAGTAAATACACTCTGTTATCGCATGGTGAAATGGGATTATTAATTTTTTTTTAAAAAAATATACTGTGTATCTAAAACAGATAGCTTGCTTGGCAAAGATCAATGTTATACAAATTCTCGGTGAAATAACTTACCCTCAAAAAATTACCTATACCTACTGTACAGTATATGTACAGTCGGTTATAAACAAGATGTACTAATATAGTGTCTTTTAATCACTCTATTTAAATATTTTGCAGAATTAAAAGCACTTTTAATGATTCATAATGACTATTGACATTGACTTAATAAAGCAGCTAGTAAAATTATTGAAATAGAGAAACAAATTCGATGTGGGGATCGGTATTTGCATTGTAGTTTTCGGGAATAGAATTATAAATTTTATAATTCACGTAAAAACATATACAGTATATATAGCATAATCGAATTCCTTGAGGCAACAATCATTCATTGAAAAGCAGATGAAAACAGAAATAAACTAAGGAATTTACATGTATTTTTGTCGGAGGTAAATATGGAATAGAATGTTGGATATGAGGAATTTGATAACGGTGTTTGGACAATTTTCGATGATGGAAATAGAGTGTTCGTCGATTTTCTCGTGGTTTCGGATGGAGTTAACTCTGCAAGTAAGTAGGTATATGCTAATATGATTACACTATATTGATTCGTAACTGTAGTAAGACACGCGATCGAGAGAATTAAGAAATTGCATAAACCTTGAGAATTAAGAGATCTATTAATTTCCTCTCGCTACACTCGAAAATTATAAAAAACATCAATTTAGTACGTATCATGCTCTAACAAGGAGACAACTGAGAGACATCGATCCGTTGTCTGAGACATTACACGTGTCATACTACAATATTAGGGAGATGTGGTACACGCTATGACCCCCAATTTTAGGTTTAGATAAGCCTATTCGCTTAATAAAACCACTTTCTATTTGATAAGGAAATATTTTGAATAAGAACGAGAGATGAGAGTTAAATCGTCCAGATATATTGAAATCCAGGAAAGTGATATTGTCAATGGGAAAACTTATGTGTGGAATAATTAGCTTAAAAAATCAATCCACCGCATTCCTTCGGAATTACTGTATATAATAAATACAGTACGTTTATTTTGGAGAAAACCTTAACTTTCTTTCATCTTGTAGGTTCATTAGATGGCATATTTAAGTAGCCAAATATGTAGCAAAAGTTACAAAAAATTACAAAAAAAAAAAACGGGTTTCCCTAATGTACTGTAGTAGTACGTTTTTCGTGTGTAAGAAGATTGAACTAAATTAGTTTAGATAAAATTCATAAGCATATGAGATTTATACTAATTAAGTCAAAAGCAAAAATTCTCGTCCAATTATTGCATGATTATTTACTTATTAACCATTATACACAGATTCGGACTAATGAATTTTTAACGACCATAAATCGCATAGTAATCTGCTTTTTCTTGCAAGAAATGGATGTCTCTAACTTTTTTGATAATGATTCTGTTTGCGTTTATCGATCTGATGACCATTCTTTTTTTCTATTCATCTTACTCACAAAATATATAGTGCGTATTTTGAGTAAGAAAGACAAGAAATTAGGATTTGTCAAATACATTGATAAATTATGATTTCGAATATATATACTGTATACTGTATACTGTATATTTAGCTATTTAACATGATTAAACATTTGGTTTCGAATAAAAACGGTTAATCGTTATAGCCGTGCGTATTTTTTTACAAATACGTAAAATAGGTTATTTTTAACCATTGTAATGTATAAGAAAAAATAAAAATAATAAAAAATAAAAAAAAAAATCAAAAAATGTTACTTTTTAATACAGTATTTAAGAAATCAAAATTCTCATTTAATGGTCGTAAACGGAGATTTGTCATTGAACCGGATTTGGGCACGATGTGAAAGTTAATAACAAATGATATCTTTACCACATGATGTTATTGTGCAAAGACATCCAATAAAATAATTTTACCTGCAGGAGAGGCATGTTCACCCCGAGGCTTTGTTAACTATTATAAAGTTTATTGACCCAAACAATTAATTTTAACCAATTGACATCATCCAGTTTGGTTATAATAACGCAATTGTATAAGCAAAACCGTTTAGTGTATGAATTTACAACGTCCTATACATACGTCTGTGACACATGATAACGTGACCTTCCGGACCGACTCTTATGCATGAAAATACGGTACATAATTTTTTGTGCATCACTTACGCATACCACAACCACAAATTCGCAATAAAATAGCAATCAATATTCTCTAAATGTAATCAATGAAATATGAGACAATAGATAAATGTGGTAAATTGATTATTGTTTGACTGAAGAGAAAAAAGATACATTGTGTTCTCGAGGTGCCACTTTTTTTGTAATGCTTTTGTTTACTAATATAGTATATACATACCCTCTTGCCTAATATATCAATAATAATCATTGTCAATTATGACGGTCCAGCGATTTTCCCCATCCAATTATGTTTAAACTACCAATTTCAGCAACCGATACATCGAAATGTTTTTTTAATCATTTCCACAGAACGACTCAAAATCTCCTTTTCATAACATTTCTTGTAGAACGACAACGTATTTCACCATCATATGATGGTACTTTCAATGAACGTTTTTTATTTTTATTTGTAGAATAATCAAAGCATCGTGGCTGAAAAACGAGTATTTGGTGATGTGAACTGGGTCATTTTTTTTTTATTTCCAATCACGGGTCAGTTAAATAATAACCAAAAATCGACACAATTACGTATGCACGTCATTCGATGGTTTCGGAAACAAAGACTTTTTTTGCTACGTGTTGATATAAATGGATGATGATTTGAAATTTCTTACTCCAACTTCCGTTAAACCATCAAATCTTGAAAATCTCGATTGCAACATGGATTCTCCAAAGAAGATTAAACTGCACACTTTTGAGGATAAGGTTTTGATAACCGAAGCTCTCACTCACACCTCTTATTGTTATGAAAACCCAATGACAGGTCATCATAATGAACGACTGGAATTTCTCGGTGACTCAATTCTTTCATGTGCTGTGACGGATTATATATTTGAAAGATTCAAAAATTGCAAAGAAGGTACGCTTACACAACTACGCGCCCAGATTGTCTGTCAAGAAACCCTGGCCGAATTCACCAGGAAACTAGGTCTAGAAAAGAAACTCCGGTTAGGAGCCGGATGCGCAAACATGAGAAGCAATGAAAAAGTTTTGTGCGACACATTTGAGGCATACGTCGGTGCGGTATATCTAGATGTCAAGAAAGATATGTCGAAATTGGTGGGATATATTATTGAGCCACTAGTCAAACCGTTCGTTGACGAACTAGAGTCAAGGAATGCAATCGGCATCCATGATGGTGGTGGAATTATTTCGCTTGAAGATGATGACGAGGAGGTTCAAGTCGTAAAATCGATCGTACCTACTACTCACGTCTTCTCAGACCCGATGGGAAAATTGCAAATGTGGGCAGCAAGGAAACTGAAACTAGTGCCTTTGTATGAAGAACTAGGGAATGATAATCAAACAAATGGTCCATTCAGATTTGAGGTTAGAATTGGCGAAAAGATTTTTGGTCGAGGTGAAGGGCCGAATAAACGAACGGCAAGAAAGCAAGCCGCCGAAAACGCGTTAAAAAAAATTGAAGGCGATGAAGGAACCATCACACCCACGCCAGATGTCGAAGGAACCACTACAAACATACCAAATAACTAGAATTAATTAGATATCCTAAAATATTGCAAATTATGTTAAGTTTTATATTGGTTATTATCTCATCTCTGTATTTACGTATAAGGAAAAAAAAAATTCGCCCATTTAACAAATTAGGGTGGTTAATTAATAAAAATTTATGGCTATCAACTCGGCTTTATTAATCCCCATTACCACCGATTCTCGTTTACGTAATATTATTTCTCACCACATAATAGTAAGATTCATTTGATTTTTTGAACAAATAATTACGTCGTCATCACATGAGACGGTAACGCACTTTACAAAGTCGCTGTTTACAGAGCTCGATCGCCACTATGAAAGCAGAAAATACAAACTGATAATGCCAATTCCTAAAGCGGAAGGTTAACGGTTGTAGTCCCATATAATCCACCCGATTTGTCTCACGTACATAAATGATAATCAATTAAATGGGATAACCTTTCCCCATAAGGAATCGTAATTTAAAAGTGTTACTGCTCCGTCCTGGAAAAATGATTAACCAATTGATTGCTAGTTAGAATTGTTCGATTGGTTATACGAGTGGTGAGTGTAATTAGGCGAGAAAATTTGGTTGCACTATAAAAACCTCGTACCCACGATTCCCTTTTTTTTTCTCATTCGCCTTTGTGTATTGTACTGTTCTGAAAAAAATTTAAAAAGGAATTCAATTTTTTGTAATCAAGTATTTACGCAGATCTGAGAGCGAATTAAATATCCCCCCCCCCCCTAAGATTAATATGAATGAACAACAAGTAACTTCTATGCAATCCGAATCTTCAAATACGTCTACCACCATCAGGGTGGATGAAAATGAAGGTGGTCTCTTGGACCCCACTCATGAAGAAATCGTAAAAGCCCAAACGCACATCGAAGAAACCAAAATTTCCTATTTTCAATTATACTCTTTTGCCACCAAAAAAGATTGGGTGATTATGATCGTGGGCTTGGCATTTTCGGGTGCCGCAGGTGCAACCATGGTATGACGAATCATCTCTTCGCGCATTAGATCTTTAACTTCGACCAATTTTAATCCCAATCTGAATTCTTTTTTCAGCCTCTGATGACTGTTATTTTTGGAAAGATGATCGATTACTTTACCTATTACCAAATAGGGATAATCACCGCGGATTATTTCTCTGACAGAGTTAATTATTATTCCCTCGTATTCATCTATCTCGCCATCGTCACTTTCTTCTCCACTTACTTTTACATGGCTGCCTGGGTATACACTGGTGAAAGGTGGTTATCTAGTATTTTGATTTTGTCAATTTTTTTTATAAAACCGTCTCCAACATCCACGTGACCTATCCTCATTAGGATCACGCGACAAATTCGCGAGCGTTACCTTCGCGCAATCCTTCGTCAGAACATCGCGTACTTCGATAAACTCGGTGCCGGCGAAGTGACCACTCGCATCACTTCCGATACTCACTTGATTCAGGATGGTATTAGTGAAAAGTTTTCTCTCGCTTTTCAAGTAAGTATTTGTCTTCCACGGCTCGCGCTCTTCTCTATGTTTCCGCACACTCAATTTTTTTTACGACGATAGTATGCTGCCCAATTTATTTCCGCCTTCATAATTGCGTTTACCACAAGTTGGAAGATGACACTGGTAATTTCTTGTGTCATCCCATTGATCGCCATCACCAGCGGAATAATGAACACACTCACTGCCGTCTTTATGAAACGTAGTCTAGATTTATACTCTCTTGCCGGTACAATTGCCGAAGAAGCTATTAGCTCCGTTAGAACAGCGGTAGCATTCGGCTCTCAAAAGAAATTGTCCGGTCTCTATGAATCTCACCTGAAAAGCGCAAAGGTTGAAGGAAGAAAGAGGGCTATTCTGAGTGGTACCACCTTGGGTGCTATCTTTTTCATCATTTATTGCACCTACTCTTTGGCATTCTGGTTTGGCTCCAGACTGATCATCGATAAAGAATTGACGCCTGGTAAAGTGAGTATTGTTCGCATGTCTAGCCTATCCTTGTGGTTGGTTTCCTTAAAACTTATTCTTGATTATAACCACGTTCCCTTAAAATGGTTTAGGTTGTCAACGTGTTTTTCGCGGTATTGATCGGTGCGTTTTCGCTTGGAAACATTGCTCCTGACTTGCAAGCCTTCGGCTTCGCCAGTGGGGCTGGATCAAAGATTTTCGAAACCATCAATCGCGTGCCGACAATCGATATCGCCTCGGAAGATGGTGAAAAACCGGAGGTTTTCAACGGTCACATTCAACTTAAGGATGTCTCCTTTATCTACCCCGCTCGACCTGACCAGAAAACCTTGAACCATGTTACCTTGGACATTGAGCCCGGTACTACTGTTGCTCTCGTTGGTTCCTCTGGTTCAGGAAAGAGCACCATCATATCACTAGTTCTTCGATTTTATGACACTGTCTCTGGCGAAGTTCTAATTGATGGTCGTGACATTAAATCCCTCAACCTTCGGTGGCTTCGAAGACAATTTAGTCTTGTGAGTCAAGAACCGGTACTGTTCAACACCACAATCGCAGAAAATGTTGCCCACGGATTGATTGGCTCCAAATACGAAAATTTGCCTGAAGAGAAGAAACGTGAAATGATTGAGCAAGCGTGTATTATGGCCAACGCTCATGGATTCATCAAGAAGCTTCCCGACCAATATGAGACGATTGTCGGCGAACGTGGTTTTCTGCTATCGGGTGGACAGAAGCAACGCATTGCCATTGCCCGTGCTGTCATCAAAGATCCAAAGGTCTTGCTGCTCGACGAAGCTACCAGTGCTCTTGACACGCGGAGCGAAGGCATCGTGCAAGACGCCTTGGATAAAGCGTCAAAGAACAGGACAACCATAGTTATAGCCCATCGATTGTCCACCATTCGTAATGCAACCAAAATTGTCGTGATGAATCAAGGTGTCATCGTTGAAATCGGTACTCACGATGAACTGATGGCAAAGAATGGTGCTTATTCGAAACTTGTTGAGGCTCAACGAATTCAACTTTTCAAGGAAGCCGAAAAAAATCCCGAGGTACTGAATTCCTCGATGATTCCACAGGAAGACGAGGATGTGTTGTTGCCCTCTAGAAGTAAGGAGGAGGTCATAATACCCGAGGAAGATTATTTAATCGACCGTGTCATCACCAACAAATCGGTTTCATCGGCAATTTTGTCTAGGCGACAGGCTGACATCGAGGCAGGAACGAAATACGATTATGAATACACCACTTGGGAATTAATCAAGAAGGTCGCGAAAATAAATCGACCCGAGTTTCCGATAATGCTTGCTGGTTTATTCGCCGCAATTGTTTGTGGCTGCGTATATCCGGTGTTTGCCATCATCTTTGCGCACATCATTGAATCTTTTTCTAAACCACCAGATCAGTTGAGGCACGACGCTTCCTTCTGGGCTCTTATGTTCATCGTAATTGCCGTGGTCACTTTGATTTGCAATTTCATACAAGGCGCCGCCTTCGGGTTCTCCGGTGAAAATCTAATCCAACGAGTTCGGTCCATGTCCTTTGCTTCTATCTTGCGACAGGACATTTCATTCTTCGATGAAGAGAAAAACAACGTTGGCACCTTGACCAGCTCTTTGTCGTTGGATGCCACTCACGTGAATGGTTTGGCCGGGACCACGTTGGGTACCCTTTTGCAAGTATCCACCACGGTCATTGCCGGTCTGATCATCGGTCTTAGCGTTGGATGGAAACTCACATTGGTTTGCATGTGTTGTATTCCGGTGTTGATTGGCTCCGGTGCCCTTCGCATGAAGATGTTAAACGGGTTTCAGCAAAAGACCAAGAAATCCTACGAGGAATCCGCTCAAGTTGCCTGTGAGGGTGCTGCCAATATCAGAACCGTGGCTTCTCTTACTCGTGAGGAAGATTTATGGAATATCTATCACCACAAACTCGATGAGCCAATGAAACAAGGATTCAACAACGCCTTCCTTGCTTCAATTGTTTTTGCTTTTGCACAATGTGCCATGTTTTTGACAAATGCTCTGGCATTTTGGTATGGTAGCAAGCTATTCATGAGTGGCGAATACGATCTCCTAAAAATGTTCGTTGTCTTCATGGCAGTAATCTTTGGTTCCATATCGGCCGGTCGTGTGTTCGCTTTTGCACCTGACATGGTAAAAGCCAAGTCTGCTGCTGCATCCATCATCTCCTTGATCGAACGTACGCCAACAATCGACACATGGTCACAATCCGGACAACGCCTTGATGAAATAGAAGGACTCATTGAATTTGATGACGTCCACTTCCGTTATCCCACTCGACCTCACGTTCCGGTTCTTCGGGGTCTGAATATTGAGATTAAACCCGGTCAATTTGCCGCGCTGGTTGGCCCATCGGGATGTGGCAAGAGTACCACCATCGGCCTTATCGAAAGATTCTATCAACTTACCGGTGGGAAGGTGACCATTGATGGCATAGATATTTCAACCATCAACATTAACAACCTCCGTGAACACATCGCCCTGGTCAGTCAAGAACCCTCACTGTACAATATGACCATCCGCGAGAATATTTTGTTTGGTTGTCGACCAGAGCAAAATCCTACGCAGGAAGATATAGAACGTGTATGCCGTGAATCTAATATTCACGATTTCATCACGGGATTGGCGGAAGGATATGACACTCCGGTTGGTGGTAAAGGAACTCAACTTTCGGGTGGTCAAAAGCAGAGAATCGCCATTGCCCGTGCGTTGATAAGAAACCCCAAGATTTTATTACTGGACGAGGCAACATCCGCTTTGGATTCGGAGTCTGAAAAGGTTGTCCAGGAAGCACTTGACAAAGCCGCAATGGGTCGAACGGTTAGTAAGGCTTAGCGTTCAATGAGATGATCAACCGTTTTACGATTTCACTAACACACATTTTTTCCTTTCGACAGACACTCGCCATTGCACATCGATTATCAACGATTCAGAATGCTGATGTGATTTTTGTTATAAAGGACGGCAAAGTAGCAGAGAAAGGGACACATCAAGAGTTGATAGCACAAAAAGGAATATATTGTACCATGGTACAAGAACAACACTTGGGTGGTGATTCAAGCTAATCGAAAAATTATGTTTTATAGAGTATGATAAAAAATCAATTATAATTCGAATTTTTACACTAAAATCTTTGTATTTTATAATCTTATATAATAATTATTCACATTAGTGTCAATAGCATTTTATTAGAACATTAATCAATCAAAAAGTATATAATGGTTAGGGCAATAATTCAAATAAAAATAAATATTACAAAAAATCTTTTTTTATAAAACGGGTATCTATCAAATTTACAAAACAATTCACTCCCCTTTACATGCAACCTCGTCAAAAAAAAAATAAACAAAAACAATTCATTCAGAAAGAGTAAAAACTACCTTCAAATCAGACTTTTCACTTTTACTACAAACTCTTATTTTTTTAAAAACACTTCACTATCAAATATCCAGCCTCAATCCAAACTCAATAACTTTCTCAAAATTCTTTTTAATTCACTATCAACTAAATTACACCTACATTCTACTCTTTTACACCTATATATTAATAATCTTTGTCTATGCTGCAAAATAGTTCCAGAAATAACCTATCATATCTGGCTTTACAAAGAAAGCAATTTAGCAATAACTCAAATAATCAATGATATACAAATACAAGTTATCCTTATCTTCAAAAACAACAAAAACTTCAATCCCAAATTTATTCAACAGCTTACCAATTTCTTATTTATCTATATAAATCTAGTTATTGATCTTTTAAATATCAATCTTTATTCCAAAAACTTAAATTATTTATAAAAGATATAAAAATTCTAAATAAATTATAAAATAATCTTTTCAATCTAATTTATTATAAATTTTGAATCTCTAGAAACAAAACCATAATTGAAGAAAAAGAAATATATAATATTTTCTGCTTTGACAAATTTAAGAAAAATAAGTGATCATTTTTAATCAATAATAAAACTAGAAAAAAATTACTTTAACAAATAAATATTTTAGTTTAGATATTTTTAATATTGCTATTAAAACTTTTTCTATTAATGTTTCTTTATAATATAATAGATTATTGAAAAGATATTAACTTTTTAAATTAAATTGTCTTTTTTGTTTTTCTTTTTTTAAAATATATTTATATAATAGAATATTAATATACAGTATATAATAATATATCTTAAAATTTGAATATTAATTATATAATTCTTTTTTACTCAATTAATAAAAATTATAAAAAATATCTTACTTAACATTTAAAAAAACAATTTTTTTTAAATAATTTTTTTTGTTTTATACTATATAATATATATTTATTTTTTCATTGTAAACAATAATTAAAAGTTTTATTAATAAATAATTTGATAATAAAAAACTTTATTAATATTTTATAATAAGTTTTTTATTGATTTGAAATTATCGATTAAATAAGTTATTCCAGTTATTTATTGTATGAAATAAATAGATTAAGATAAACTTACAAACCATAAATTTAATTAATATATAATAATTAATTTTTTTTTTGTTGTTGTTATATTTAAGCAATATAGATTTTTGAATTGAGTTTATAAATTTTATTTGAAATAATTTTTAATTTTATCAATAGTATTTATTAATGAATCAATTATTAATTTTTTAACATAATTATTATTGTCATTTTTAATCAATAATTCTTATTTGATATTATATTTGTTGAAATAAATAGAATTGTATCATATTAGAATGATGAATGACAATTGTTTTCATAATGGTTATTTTTTTTAATTTATGATATACGGTATATTTTTGCATTTCGTACTTTTGTGATTATTTTTTCTATTTTTTTTTTTAAGTTGCAAAACGATTAAATAGATTACCGTGAGTAGAAAGATGATTACAGCATGTAACATAGTATTCTATCATAGGTTGTGATCTAACGAACTTTTGCGTTTTCATTTCAGCATTTATTTATTTATTTATTTTGAGTTTGTGTAAAAGAGACATAGTATTAAGAGAAAAAGAAACTTCCTCTTTGGTAGATTGTAATACCAAACTCTTATAAATAATAAGTGTCCAGTAATAGATGATTAGCGTAAAACTTAAGGTGAGTGCGCACTTTGATCTTCTATTCGATGTTATTGATCTTTTCCGAACCGAAATGTATCAGATTACCTTTTTTAAATGAGTTTAAAACGGGTTGCTCCCTTTTTAGATTTTCAATCACGTTTTTAAATAGCACAAGGGATCGACTAATGAATGTTGCGTGTAATATTTTTCATGCAGGATCACAAATTAAATTTGTTAGTATGAAAGACAATCATGATTTTAAATTAAATTGGGATTAGAGCGCTGAGTTAATTTTGATTCTAATGTTGGAGAACGGGTTTTTCGAAAAATTAGCACTATAATAAAATAACCAATTTCAAGAAAAGATACAAAAATGGCAAATCCTTATATTTTCCTTGTTAACTTATTCCGGATTATCAAAGATCAATTTTTCAATGCTGCCTAAACGTGGTAAAACTTTTCACTAGTGATCCTTGGAGAATTGTTATATATAAGATTCTTGTCGATAACATAAGTAAAATTTTACAAAACATATTCTTCACGAACCTTACCTTTGAGACACATAAACAAAGATGAAGTCAGCTGCAATAATCGTGCTTTCCGTTCTTTTCTTAGCCACTTGTGCTGTTGGAAAACTAATCCCAAACATAGTCAAACAAGTTCAAGTCCACGAAGTCTTACCTTCAGAAGTCTTCGTTACACGCGACGGAGAAAATAGATACACTGTGGAAAGCGTATGGTATGGCAGTGGATACGAAGATGATGGTATGTTTAAATATTTTTAGAACTTCGTGTCTAGTGATTGTCATACGGTACTCATGAATAAACTTTTTTTTTTTTTAGACAAAGTTGATGCTATCCTTAGATGCCATGCTGGTGTACAGGTCAAAACATCTCCTCAGGTAAAATAATCAATTTTATTATGTCCCTTTTTTATAATAGAGGTTAGAGTTTAATTCATTCTTGATAATTTTTAGCATAAAGTATTCGCAGATCGCAGAGCTTTCTTTGAATTGATTGTTCCCCAAAACTTATCAACCGTAGTTTGCCGCCGAGGTATTTTTGACATCGATTCCTTTAGAGGCGCAATTTTCACGTTCGAACATAAATAAATAAGCTTAGATACCATATTATGTATCGAGATTGTTTAAGTGCAGGGCACTTAAATTCTGTAGTGCAATATATTCGTATAATTTAATATATTCAATTGATAAACGTTAATCTAATGGAGAGTGATAATAATAGACTTCCTTTCGGATGAACAATGTAATATCAGATTAAGGACGAACGTATTTTTTTAGATCATAACCAATCAACCAATTCAATGCAAGTTCCTTCGCTCAATATACTATTACATATTGAGAATATAAGTTTTTCTTTTTTATCGAGGACATATTCCTATCGTATATAAGTTTTGCATTCAGTTCTGACTTATTTCAGGCTCGTTGATTTAGCTACAGCAATTTTTTGATATAGAAAAATGTTTTCTTTTCGAAATACAGTGATTAATCTTATTGTTAAGGATAGAAAGAGGCACCATCAATTATCCGTATAGTACTATAGGATTCCTAAGGAGTTTAAAGTCGATTTCATTCTCAAAATTTTATAATATACCATGTATTGTGTGTAGATATGTTAATCTGACGGAAAGTTCCGGTTCGATCTGGCCATTGTCCATGCCGACCCTATTTAATTTCGAAGTACTGTATGTACAGTAATGAAATAAACAAAATAAACCACAAGGTCCCCGAGAATCAATTGGGATCTAATTTTTACGCGAGCCTATGCGATTCTGAATTTCGGAATAAAACTGTAGAACCTTGCATGCATAGCTAATCGAAACTAGGTGCGAAAAAAAATGATTGGGATTTTTATTTTATTTTATTTTTCGTTTTTACTACTGTATTTCATGCAAGAGGTAAGAGGCGTCATTGGATAGAAAAGGTAACGAATTAGCATTGACTCCATCGAGTAACTATAATTTTGGACTATTGATAATAGAACCATTATAAACGTAATAATTTTATAAAAACAATAATTATTACGTGTAGTTATTTATCATTCCCAAACAACCAAATCAATTAGTATGCGTTAACCACTTGTTATCAAAGTTCTCTGACATAAGAATTTCAATTGCAACTATCAAAAGGTTATCTCAATTACGTATACGATGCGTAAGCTTAGTTCTATATACTGTATATCGTAAGAGGAGAAGCGTTCCTTATCACGTGACTAAAATCCAGCGTGAAAAAAGGAATAAGTTAGTGTAATTAAAATATGTTTTTTCTTATAAGTTATCATATTTCATTTGTTCTTTATTTTCTTTTTGTTTAAAAATGATTTAAAGACTCACGGATTAACAGTGACAATGAAAGATTATTGTACTGTATATGAGATATAAGGGGAAAATATGGAATTTAAAATTATAAGAACCACAATTTATTTTAAAATGAAAATATATAATGTTGCAAATAATCGATAATCCGTTTTTCTAACCTGTACAGTAATACACTGTATTAAAAATTGACTATTTTTTAATTTGATATATATTTTCATTTATTTTTTTTCCTGTAATCAAATTAATATATATGAAGTTTATTTAATCTTATTATAAAATACATATAAGTTAAATTACTTTTATGCACAAACTTTAGATTTTTATAGTTGAATACTTATCTTTAATAAAATTTTCTTTGAATAAAATTTTAGAGATAAATAAAATTGCTTATTTATATAAAAATAAGTATCAAAATAATATTTATATTTATATTTATAAATAAATATGCAATAATACAAATTTTTATTGATACTTGAGTATATCTATAAATTACATCAAGTATCTTTTTATAATTGAAACAATTGTACTATTGTACTGGTTATGTCTGAAGTCAATTTTACAACTGTAAATTAATATTGTCTAATATTTATTATGATAATAACTTTATTGTTCACCTTGTATTCAATTTATAAAAACTGTATACCAATAATGAATCCAAACATCAAGTGAAATTTCTATATAGAAGAGAAAGTCCTATTATTAGTTTAAACTACTTAATCTATATTAATTTATTTACTAAGAGTTATATCTATCCTAGAAGAATTGATAAAATTTCTAAATACTTTGATACTTTTATTTGGAACCTTGGAAAAATACTTGCTTGTTTCACTACCTGTGTCTTCAATAGATCTTTTCCTAAAGACTACTTCTTTTAAGTATATATCAGATTGGAATAGTTTCAAATTAAGAAATCTTAAAAATTAAAACCAGTCTTATTGAATATAATATATATAGGATAACCAAATAACCTATATATAAAAAGACTTTATAATTATTGTAATATCAACTGAACAATTATTATATCACAATATCTTCTTTTGTATCACAATTCTAATATCCATTGGATCAATATAAAAATAGCTTCATATAAGAAACAATATATAATAGATTATGATATCAAATATCATTTTTAATTTAGCTTAACTGTTTTTACATAGAGTTGAATTGATATCTTGTGATTTGGATTTGAAAGCATTAATTACTATATTATTGATTTATAAATTATCAAAATTATATTTTTATTTATATAATTTTTCTATATTATATAATAATAATTATTTTTTCTGTTCATATAAGAGATATTGTTTCTTTTATAATGTTTATATACTGTACCACTATACAAATTAAATAAAAAGATGATATTTATCTACAAAAAAAAATTATTTTTTTTATCCAATTTGTGATCCAAAAAAATTTGATCAAGATAATTGGATACTTTATATAGTTAAGGTCACAAAAAATCTCAAGATACAAATCTGTCCTTCAAGCTGTCTCTTCTAATTAGAAAATATCCATAATTTATTAGGTTTACTTTTCAAAAATTTATTATTACAACTCAAAGAAACAGCAATCAATATACAGTATCTAATGTCCTTAATATCAAATTTTTTAACCAACTTCTCCGATTCAACAATCCAATCAAACTATCCTGATTACTTAACAATTCCTATTCAATAATCTTTTTAAGCTCCAATACCTTTTTACTTTAAACAATCAATAGAATTTCATCCAACACTAAGTATTACCTTTGTAACATTATTAAGAAATTAACAAATCTTCCAAAAGAAAATGAATCCACTCTTCAATTAGTCAACATCTTATCACTTATACTATTTTCCTTTCTTTACAGTCAATAGATCAATGCAATCTATATTACATTTTTTTTTAACTAGCTAGGCCTTGCCTAACGTACTTTATTTAATTTACATTTGTATTTCTATTACAAGAATTACTA